GAAAAGATCAAATATTCTCTAAGCTAAAATATTAATATATTTTCAACCCACAAGTATATCTGACATTCTTATGCAAATGGAGAAATGTGAACAAAAAATTTTTTTGATTGGATACAAATTTTGATGCATACTTATATTAAAAGTTTTTAAAATTTTAATATTAAATTTATGATTATTTGCATGTTGATTTCAACAAACTTATTATCGAACTGAAAATTTCAGCAAGACAAATCTATCAATAGCAATACTGATTTGATTGTAGTCCAAATGAGTTGTCAAGCACTTGAAGTATAATTAAATACTTCATGCACTAAATGGATGATAAAACGATCTCCAAATCTCATATGCTTAAAGTTGAATCAAGAGTCTTGATCAGACGAATCCAACAAACCCAAATATCACTTAAGTTTAGCATCATCATAAATACACTAGAATGTTGAAGGAACAATCTATATTTAAGAGAATCAATATGAGTCATCCAATAGAGTGTTTCAGATTTTGGTTATGTTTACGTCATATGTCATTCTCAAAAATCTATAAATAAGTCTCGACTTTCTACATGAATGGATGACCTAGAACTTGGACTTTGACTTTAGATTTAAAAGAGCATTATGCTCTAAGAATCCCAGAGCTTCACTTGAGCACCATTGTTGACTATGGTCTGTCACTAAACTCTGATCCTTCAACCATCATCACCAACTACGGTCCTTCGACCACCATAACCAAAAACATGATCCTTCGACCATCTCTGCTCAATTATAATCCTCCAACCATAGTCGTCTTACTATGATCGTTCGTCACCCGAATATGGTCCTCCAACCATTATTGCCCGACTACGATCATCATATCATTATCGCCCGAATACGATCCTCCAGTCACTTTCACCTAATTATAATCATCTAACCAGCATCTCCTAACGAAGGTCTCTCCTACCACAATCTTCATGAGCTTTAATAGAGGTAGTTATATATTTAATTTAAAAAATTTAAATTTTAATATAATTTATTTTATATTTAAATAATTTTAATATTTATTATGTCATTCAATTTAACCACTACAGGAAAAATTGGTACTTCCGACAAACAAAAGCCGTCGAAAATGAACGTTATCTGCCAAAATATTGACTTTCCCACGGAAAAGGGGTCGACAGTAAAATACGCGTCGAAAACACATTTTAGATGGAAATAAGACCACCGAAAATAATTTGGGCGGATTCACCAGCGTTTTCTTGTAGAAATGTAGTCTCAAAAACGGTGGTTCCATGTCCTTATTTCTAGCAGGATTTCCGTCGGTATTTCCAGTTCATTACACAATAAAAATGGACCATAAAATGTACAAACACAGTAATAAAATACCCAGTAATAACAAAAAAGTCTAATCAAAATCAGTTTCATCAATCTCCTCATCTGCCGATGTTGATTGTTTTCCGCTGCTCCCTCATTCTCTGCAACTCCTCCAATATCTGACATTGTTGCATCTGCATTTGCATGTCATCTTCTAATTTCAGACTTGATATATCTCTACTATAAGGGCATCCACCTATTGAATGTACAATTTATCCTAGCTACCTCCTAAGAAGCTGGAGCTACCAGAGATGTGCCCCTTATATGCATAGGCTAGCAAACCTAATCCATATACCAGTCCTTTCTACATTCCACCTACCGCTTGCAACCAAGTGCGGTAATCAGAATAATCTGCATATCCCCCATAGGAACACTCACATGCTCCAGTGTAGCTCTCTCGAAGTCATTTATACTCTTCATACAAAAGTTAATACAAGATTAATCAAGTTATGTGACTCCTTATTTGGTGACTATTTTATATATTGTTCAAATAGTATCACAATTGCATCATAAAATAAATCCTCTTGTGTTCAAATATTTTTTCCCTCATTTATATTAGAATTTGAAGACGAGTCGCATAGAGAATTGAAATGTGGCTCATACTTACCACGAGAAATTCAATATCAATATTCTCGTATGAATCCTCAGCGATATAGATCAACAACTAACTCATCTGGTGCGAGGTGAACTTGGTTTTTATGTTTAGAATACGGTCAATGATGAATTCATAATGATTTGTAAATCGACTTAGAGTATGCGCGGATATAATTCAGAATTATTTGCAAATCGACCTAGAATACGTATTTTTCTCAACATTAATGGCATTGACATGGAGCTTTCATATAAATATCTATAATAGTAACAATAATAATAACAACAACAAGCTTTTATTTATGTGTGGTCAGCAACATGAATCAGTTTTCTCTAATGTGTCCTGTTAAGAGTCAAACTCTTATAATCGGGTCATCAGAAGGCCGTTATTTTATGTGACCAAATCATCTAAGGTGAGTCTTTCTAATCATGACTATCATTGGAGCTAGTCTAAACTTTTCATGTATATGCACTGTTCTCATTCTATCCCTAAAGCCACTCATCTATTTGATCATCTTCATCTCAGCTATACTTAAATTAATTGTATGCTTCTCTTTTAATGACCAACATTATACACCATAAAGCATTATAGGTCCTACAATCATCTTATCCCTTAATTTTGAGGGGAATATTTCTATCACAAAATAAAATGGTGAAAAACTTATCGAGATACCACGGAATCGCAGACGAGACGGTGGACAGCTACATCACGATGAGGCGGCGAACGGTTGTGGGGAAACACTGGCAATGACTCACTTGAACGGAAGCGGCGAACAGAAGGGAGAAATTATTAGCGGACAACCACAAACTATTGGAAATAAGGCTTCCTCTGGTGGAGTCTCTGGTAGATTTTTCGTTGGCAATATTTCCGGCAACTTTTCCGCATGAAACAAGTCGTCAGGCTTAAGTAAACCATCAGATATTCCGAGCCAGTGTATGTTCCTCATAGTCAGACAACCTCCCAACCGCTACTACATAACCATCACTCAACCGTGACCTTCGGACCCCTGCCCGATTTCCATTGTTGAACCATCGTCAAACCACTATCATCGGAACATCACCTAACCGTTATCATCAATGTACCAATGTGTCATGATATCATGAGACAAATTATATCATGATGATCTTAAAAATCATTAGCTTTATTATAACATTACTTTTATATATTAAATTTTTTTATTGCACTAATAAAAAAAAATCTAAGCGCTTGACGACATCTTGATCACTTTTTGATTATACCATGACATAATGATATAACTTTTGTACAAAATTTAATTAATTAGTCCTTCATAACGATTTTCTAGACTAAAACTATTTTCATATTAAATTTGAAATTAAAATAAAATATTCTTACCTAAATTTTTTCTATATAAAATTTGTATCATAGTTCATGATGTAAAATAAATTCTGGTACACTTCAAAAAATTTAGATTTATACTCATATTATTATTATGCCAGCTACCCTAAATTACAAGAATTTTACAATAAATCTAAAAATTGTAAAGTCCATTCAAATATATTTACTATCAAAATATTTTTTTATAAAACATATTAATATTATTTTCTTTTTTTTTTTCTTTTTTTTCCGTCTTTATTATTAGCTTTGAAGCGAATACTTTTATTTCCAAAACTACCCATGCCAAATATAGCAACGCTGATAGAAGAAAATGATGGCACAGATAGTTTCCTTTAGAGAAAACGACAAAAACGGGTTGCAAAATTCCGCGGCACGCCGCAATAAGTGGGCTATGACAAGAGGATAAGAATTCGTGTTCAGATCACGATAAGGTTGGTACAACTATGCAGGACAACTGGCACGCCTCAATGCTTCCAGGAAGGCTTCTACTTTTATATATATAAATATATATTTCATTATTTTTTATCTAATGCTTTTTAAGGTCTTTTTTTTAAGAGAAATTATTTTATTTATAGAATGTCATATTGAGATTAATCATAAATCAGAATATCTAATATCCCGAGCTATGATATCAAAAAAATAAGTGATGTGTCACAATTTAATTGATCTCCGAATAATGTTCAACTTCCTCATAGAATAATTAATCCTTTGATATAATAAAGATTTTTTTTATGGAGGGATCAAGTCATGAAAATTTAGTCTCATTTTAAAATATTTTTTTTTTACTGTTTTTTAAACAATGTTTTAATATAATTTTTTTAAAATTAGAAAATTTTATATTAAAAAATTATTTTAAAAAACTACATAAATAAAATATTTACTTTATTTGTAATTTACTTATCACCATTATCTTATGATTGTATTATAAAGAATTTCTTATATTAGAACTTCTGTTAGCTCAGCAACTCTTCATTACTAATGCTAAATATTCTATTTTTTATAGAAAACAATCTTCACATGAGAAGATCACTGTAAATCTTATAAATCAAAATGTAAGATCTGTTTAGGATAACCTCGTCATCATTTAACTTCTAATAAAGCTCTTATAGTTTAAGTTTTATTTGAGACTATTTTCTTTCTACTTAAATTATATTTAAAAGTTACTTTAAGTAGTAAAAAATAGTCCTAAACCCTAAACTTTAATTTTACTATAATTTTTCACATCTTTTTAGAACTTTTAGTTATAAATCAACTTCTTACAACTCATTATGTCAATTTTTGAAAAAACTATTATTTGCGGCTACGGATGGCATCCAAAGATCAACCAGAACACGCCACATCACTTTTTTGCTCGATAATTAGGCTTGATACCACTATATACCGGATGGCGTTGCGCATTCTGGTTGGTCTCTGGACCATCCGGTGTCCGCATATAATAAATTTTCCAAATTTTGACAGTCAAAAGAAAATTGTAATACTAACAATAATTTTTAAGATTTTCTTTTTTTTTTGGGAAAATATTTTAAGAAATAGAGACTTTTAACTAAATGTTGCTTAATCGTATCCAAAATTGGATAGCAGACGTCTCCTAAGGGTAGAAAAGACAGATAAAAACTGTTTATAGTACCTATGGCTGATAGTTACTTGGAAGAAAGAGTGTGAATAAGAAGGAAAAAAACTTACAAAACAGCATAGCAAATATCTAAATATGATAGAATCCACCGCCGATAGGGCTTTATGATTATTGGAAGTAAGTACACGGATGGTGGCGTTTGGAGTGTGGTCCTGCTGCTTGCTTGTTCATGAAGGCGTCTGATCTTCAGTTCCTGTAGCAACTTCAGTCCTCCTGCAAGCTGTTTTTTTTTTTCTTTTTTTAATGGAGAGCAATAAATAGTAAAATTAATGATTTTTTGAGAAATAATTTGGTTGAGTGGCTCCATGACGAATTTTTATTGCCTCCTCCCACCTGACGCATCTCTACGTTCGGTATGCCGTGATAACGCGACACCTGGCAGCCAACTTTACCCGATACCCGACCAGGCGATGATTGGGTTTATGGCACGTGCGAAATTTAAAACTAATGGCCCGACCAACGGACCCGAATATTATCACGCGGACCCGAAAAAAACGGCTTTGTTTTCAAACAAACCTTGCCGTCTTTCGCTTCAGTCATCATTCGCTTGGATATACTTCATCTTCTCCAACCGGCGTTCTTCTTCTTCCATTTCTGTGAAGTTTCAAGCTCTGCATATTTGCTTTTACGATGCCTCAGGTTGGTTTCTTCTTCTTCGATATATATGGTAGGGTTTACGAAGCGGTACCGAGCAATATACCGAGCTGTACCGAGCATTATAAAACTCGGTATTGCTAGGTATTTGCCGACAATGGTCAGTATAAGTCATTAATGGTAGCACTCTTCTTCTATTGTAATATTTAGGGTTAGGGTTTACCTAGCGATACCGAGCATTATTTGCCATGAAACAATAGTATGAGTTAAGCAATAACGACCAACGACCATTAGTAACACTCGGTATTGCTCGGTACTGCTCGGTACAGATCCTGTACCGAGCATAACTACTAATAGTTATGCTCGGTACCGATCAGCACCGAGCATCTGTACTGCTCGTATTGATCTGTACCGAGCAGAATTACATTTATCCTCGGTACTGCTAGGTACTGCTCGATATTGATCTGCACCGAGCAGAATTACTAATAGTTATGCTCGGTACTGCTAGGTATAGCTCGGTACGGCCCGGTATTGATCCTGTACCGAGCATAACTACTAATAGTTATGCTCGGTACTGCTCGGTACTGATCTGTACCGAGCATAACTACACGGTATTGATCTGTACCCTCGGTACTGCTCGATATTGATCTGCACCGAGCAGAATTACTAATAGTTATGCTCGGTACTGCTCGGTATAGCTCGGTACGGCCCGGTATTGATCCTGTACCGAGCATAACTACTCGGTACTGCTCGGTACTGATCTGTACCGAGCATAACTACACGGTATTGATCTGTACCCTCGGTATTGATCTGCACCGAGCAGAATTACTAATAGGTATGCTCGGTACTGCTCGGTATAGCTCGGTAATGCTTGGTATTGATCTGTACCGAGCAGAATTACTAATTTTTATGCTCAATACTGCTCGGTATTGCTCTGTACCGAGCATAGCTATTAGTCGGTATAACTCATTGATCTTTATTAGTTATTAGCATTACTAACGATTGATGTTACGCAGGGATATACTCCAAAGATTCATTTTCGATGCCGGACTTCGACTTTCAGAGAAGTTTGTAATGTACTTGTTAAGAGGTTTGGAGATCCTTTGGTCGATAGACTGCGTCAGTTGCATATCAGCAAGTTCCTTAGGCTTCCTCTTATGCCTCAAAATGTTCCACTTATACATATGCTATTATCGAAGTGGGATATGAAGAGCGAAAGTTTCATTATTAAAGGACAAAGTCTAAAATTCACATCTGATGAAGTTGCATTACTGATAGGCATGCCAAATAGGGGTCTTATTTTTGACATTGGCAGTGCAAGATCCAGTGGCAAAACATCAAATGACATTCGCCACGACATTGAGAGGATGGATAATAGCACTACATTGGATGATCTTGTGAAATGCTTCCTCCTTTACCTGCTATCGAACATATTTTATCCAATGGCTAACTTTCGGATACCAGTAGCCATCTTTGAACTTCTCAACACTCCAGATATGTTTAATCAGTACAACTGGCCTGAATCAATTAGGGGTTTCCTAGTTGAAGAATTCAACGGTGTTGCTACAAAACAAGCTAAGGGATTTGCTTTGGGTTATGTAAATGGTTTTGTAATGATTTTAATTGTGAGTATTGTTTGTTTGTTCAATAAATGTTTGATTAGTGTACAAAATATATAGCAAAAATAAATTGCCTTTATTTCTACAGATTTGGTTCCTTGAACATACAACAATTCATGCTGTACAGGATGAAATATCCCGGCCTCGTTTTACTCGCTGGGATGGTAACTTTATTTACACTGAGAAAGAAGTAATTAATATATTTGTTGACCTTCAAGAAGATGAGGTATGTTCACTACATAATTTAATTCAATTGTCTCCTAAAATTATATGTTTTTATGGTTAAATTGGATGGTATATTATTTGTAGATACTTAAAAAATTGCAAGAAATAACTGATGATGAGAAAGATTTATTGCTTCATCTTTCTCCACCAGCCAGTCCAATACGGGAGGCAAGCCCTAGTAGGGTACCTTTCACCACAACCGCCGAGTCAACTCAACCCACTCATGCTTCTCCAGTGCGGTTGTCGAGTCCACCCAAACATGACTCAGCTACACCAACTCCAGTCAGTCCAGTGCGGTTGTCGAGTCCACCCAAACATGACTCAGCTACACCAACTCCAGTTAGTCCAGTACGGTTTTCAACTCAAAGTCATCTTGATTCATCTGCATTTCCTGAATCTAGCCATGTTGATGATCAAACTAACTTGGGAATATTAAATAAATCAATATACGAGCTGTTCAACAAGCACAACTTTATGAAGAAGAAGGTGGCAGATGTGGAAGCAACAAATCACATACTTGAACATCGCGTACATTTTTTGGAAGACTCCGTGTTTGATTTGGAGAAGGAAAATTTTAATTTGAAAGAACAAATTAAAAAGAAAGACCGATTCTTGATGCAGTTCTTTGAAGAACAATTTCCTTCTTATTTTAAAACTTACAAGAAATAGATGTGTGCTCCATCTTCTTTATCTCCAACTGAATCTGAAGACACGACCTTAAGTGAGTATGAGGTTGATCCTTCAGTACTGACAGAAATTGCAGAAAGAGTTCAGAGGAGAAATGACCGAAAAGAAAACTTGTATCCACACCTTTCACTACTGGTGTTAGGAAGAAGAAAACGAAAAAAAATTTGCCAGCCGAAGAGGAATTAGGTAATGCAATTGCAAGTGATCGTCCAGATAAAGCACCTGAAAATGCTCCGGAATCTACACAAACTCCAGCACCAGAACCTCCAACGGAACCTACACCAACAAGTACAACTGTAATTCCAGCAGCACTTGAACAAGAGAATGTTACTGATGTTGATCTGCCTGTTGTCAAAGCTACGGTTGTTTTTGAAGTTGATGAAAATAAAGAAATTCCAATGGCTACTGCAGCTGAAATGTTATATTACCCTGGCAGAGCTTTAATTAGCGAAGATAAACGCCTCATAATTAATAATGGCCTTAAACAATTCAAGTATAAGTGTGTACTCGATTTTATACCAATTTGAGTACTTGATTTTATACCAATTTGAGTAGTCTATTTTATACCAATTTGATAATGATTTTTTATACAGGAGCGATTCTATCTTCGAGCTTGGAATTATAGCAATATATAGAAGCCAATTGGATGAATTATTAATGTCGAAAGAGCTTGATAATAACCACATAGACGCGTTTGGTCATTTATTAACGCAGAAGGAAGCAGTATGTCCTGATCGTAATCAACCTTTTCTATTTGTTTTAAGCTTCCATTGGGTTAGTAGTTAACATTCTGGTATTTATTCGGTTTAACCATGTTCGAATTAATCACACTACATCTTATATCTTCTTAACCAGCTATACTACAAACAATACAATGAATCGAACACAAGAACGTTCGTATCTAATATAGACAAAAACATTATCAGGAGTATAAATTTGATCTTTGTTCCTATAATATACGAAAAACATTGGACCCTACTACTTTGCAACTTGTTAAAAAAACGGTGGGAGTTTTATGATTCGTTACCGAAGAAGACACATAAAGCGATACTCCCAGAAGTTGTAAGTAACAACGAATTTTTTTGTTATCATTTCTACTCTTATCAATATTCTATGTTAATTTGATTTTGGTTTTCCAGATTTCTCATTTCTACAAAGACACGGAGGACGCCTTCGACATTGATATAACGACATGGCCAATCAAAGGATTTCGAAACGTGCCGACACAAAATAACAGCGTCGATTGCGGAATGTATCTTTGTAAATATATGGAAGTTCTAATACAACAAGAACCAATTAAATGGTATCGATATTTGGACTGGCATTCTAGTATGCCATTGTATAGGGCTGAATTTGCTTATGAC